TGCAAAAGCTCTAAATATGGCAATTCCTGGAGGGAGCAAGTTCGAACCGCTTTATAGAGGTATGTCATCTTAAATTAATTCATTAATTATTATTATTACTTTTTGCATCATGTTTAAATTAGAAATATTATAGAAATATTAAATTTAAATTATAATTTTGTTATCCATTAGATATGGACACGGCGGACGATGACTGGAACGAATTTAATGACATAAATAAAATTATAATACGACAACCTATTCGTACTGAATACAAAATTGCATTTCCTTTTCTGTACAATTCTCTCCCACGATCCGTTCATGTGTCATGGTATCATGAACCGTCAGTAGTTTATATCCGTTCAGAGGATCCGGACTTACCGGCGTTTTATTTTGACCCTATTATTAATCCTATTTCGTCACGTAATCTTACACCACAAAACTTGGTAATATCTCATGAAGATGAAATTTTCGGCGATAAAGAAGAAGATGAGGAATTTGTACTTCCAGAGAAAATCTCTCCATTTTTAGAGAGCACACCACTTTATACGGATACTACTGCTGACGGGATCGCTTTATGGTGGGCTCCACATCCATTCAATAAACGTAGTGGACGAATGCGGAGAGCAGAAGATATACCCTTGGTGAAGAATTGGTATCTTGAACATTGCCCGCCAGGACAGCCTGTTAAAGTTCGAGTATCATATCAAAAGCTTATAAAATGTTATGTGCTAAATGCACTAAAACATAGACCACCAAAAGCTTTAAATAAGAAATACTTGTTCCGTCAGTTGAAATCCACAAAATTCTTCCAAACAACTGAACTAGACTGGGTTGAAGCCGGATTACAAGTCTGTCGTCAGGGCTACAACATGCTTAATCTTTTGATTCATCGAAAAAATCTCAATTACTTACATCTTGACTACAATTTCAAGTTAGCATTATTTTTAATGTTTTTATTTATTTTGTTTATTTATTTTACTCATAATTCTAATACAAAAACTGTATTTTAGCTTGAAGCCT